CCGCCTCCACGGCCTGTACCGCCTCCACGGCCTGTACCGCCTGTACCGCCACTCCTCCCTCTACTACCGCCTACACCACCACCGCTGCTTCCGCCCCCCCCTCCATCGCCACCACCGCCTCCACCGCCCCTCCACTTCCCGGATGCACCGCCGTCGCCGGGAGCTGAGCTGGCATGGCGGGGTGCGCGTAGCCTTCACGACCACACGAGACAATTAGAGCAACCGGTATCATCATCGATTTCGTGGCAAGAAAGTGAGATCCACTCCGCGAGCACGTACTTTATCTTGATGAATCTCGTTCAAGGCTGGGGAATGAAATTCCTGAGCGCTCCCAGTCTCTCATCTCCGTTTGCAATTTGCAACGTTTTTCTGGCTTGGAAACGAAGGTGCGAGTGTAGATGCATACATTTATGTTACTTGTTGCGGTTGCATCACGTAGATTAACGAATAATGATGTTTGTTTTTTGAGAAATGAAAATCAAACAATACGAAATATTTGGCAATCCCATGTCCTCTTTCGAATTCTCAAAACATATTTCAACCAACAACATACGTTTCACAATTTCATTACTCGTTCGGCTTTTGAATACGTTTAGAAGTGGTAAATGATGTTTACTTTTTGTAATCAGCACAAAGGGGTGTATGATTCAATTTTAGAGCTACTTAATTGGATATGTTTGTATTTCTTAAGTAATTTGTTGAATAAATTTTAAATAAAATATTGAAATTCACTCAATACCTCATTCGAACATACTATTTTATTTGTCTATATTTTCTTCGTAGGCGTTATTTGGTAAGATCTTTCCATAGTTTGAGAGCAAGGTGGAATTCTGCTGCTGTCTGTGGGAGAATTTCAGCGACCGGCTGCTCTGATCGGCAGTTTTCCGTGTTTTCTCAGATCAACATCAGGCGAATGCCGTTTCAGTACCCCCCCCAAAAAAAACGGGCCACGGACCGCGCGCGATATTCCCTTCCTCGTTGTTGTCACTTCCTCTCCCCTCACCAACACCCACTTGCACTTCCACGCACAGGACGATCAGCCGTCAGCGTAGGTAGAGCGTGCCAAGCTGAGGTAGCGAGCTGCCGCGGCGGAACCTGGAGAGGGGAAACGCCTGGAGGCCGACAAGTAAGTCGCCGACGGGTCTACCGGGAATGACACTGACACATCCTGAAATACAACATGCCCTAAACTTACGGGACTAATGGCCACAAGCCATTAACGTGCCCGAAACATCAATATTAGCAATCCCGTGAGTACTTAAAATGCATGATGTTTACAGCCAAAGATTAATGAATTGTGATTATTTAAATATGTTTTGGATCATGAGATACTATGTGTTCAGCCACGGATATTATCGTACTGGAAAGACGCAGATTAAGGGGGCACCCTGCAGGAATGGCTATCTTAGAATTGTACTGGCATATCGCACCACTAATGTGTCAACACATCCTTCAGATTCACGAGCAATTGAGAAAAAAAAATACAAAGCACAGGACACTAAAGTGACCTTTCGGATTAAAACGTAATGCATTACCATAATAAAAGGAAGTGAGTACGCGGGCATGTTAGCAGCGAATCAAATCTGTTAACTTAGTAATTCTGCATTGAAATTATGAAAATGCGGTGCACAATAAATCGTTTTCAGGGTTTTCTGCAATTTACGAAGAAGCTAAAATACGAATCATGCGCGATCCTTCCTTCCCCATCTTCATCCTCATCATTTATTAATTCTCTTAAACAGTTAAAAACTGAATGCGACGTTCGAAAGAGACATAAACAAGCTGGGTTGAATTCTTGAGCTCTGGGAGCTCCACAACCTGTCCATACCACATATGTCCACAACCATAATAAGGGTCCATCTCAGTAATTTCTCAAATGATCAGGGGAAAAGGATGAAAAATCTGATTGAAATGTTGATTTCTCAGATGCTGAAGTACAATACTTATTGCTTTAGTCTTTAGAATTAGACAGTACAAACGGGAACTATTACGCTAAATATAGGTCCTGCTAAAATAAATATTTTAACTTTATTCTTCATTTTGATGGTCGGTATACCCTCCAATTGAATAGAAAGAGCTATGTCTCAGAAAAAAAATTACTTTGCACGTAAACATGTGAATCGTTTCCCAGATAGACCTTAGATGCGGGCGATGGGATGATTGTTATTCCCAATGGCCTGACCCTCAGTATCTATTATGCCTTTTGCACTAACGTGAGTAATCGCCTCGAATCATGCCGTAGTAATGGAGGAAGAAGCACATAACATTTCAAGCTTGAACGTACTATTTTAAATAGTCTCCTGTTCCAAAATATTAATTCGTTTTAAAATCGTTTTGAATACTTAGAAACTGAAGTACGAACTCAGACAATTTAGTTATGATGAAACCAGTTTTCTCTGAGATATCGGCTAATGACTTCGGATATTGTTTCTTTTCTGGAAGTGTATTATACTGCCACCCAATTTCTGCAGTTTGCCTGTAATTTTAAAACTGATTTAGGAAGACCTGCAACGACTTGTGATTGTGGTTAATTTTGAATAACGCTTATAAACACAAACAGATAACATGCAAGGTATGTGAGTAATCACCCCTATTGTGGCTAGTTGAAAAACATCAACCTTTGTTAGGACGAGCAGGGACCGTCACCAGAATGTTCACTTTCAGACCCAACATTGTCTCGGACTTGGAAGCTTTGTGCTTCTTTTTTAACCTCACACGTCATGCGTAGTACGGCGTGGCGTTCATTCTGAGCAAGACTGACTCATAGAGATAGTTAGGTCAAGCATTAGTTCAAGTACACTGTAGTGGAATGACTCACAAGGGTTTAATTTGCAGTCATAGGCCTTTGACAAAGGAGGACGAAACGAGGGCATTCGTCTGCATATCATAATCAAGCACTTTAAATGTATAAATTCAGAAGAGAAACAGAGTTACACTACAAAATAAATTCAAATATCTTTCTCTGTTTTTAAATAAAGTTAGCGTGTTGGACCAGAAAGAGTGTGATTTCGAAACATACACAATGCATCAAACTTGATACCTTGCAAAATATTTACAAAATCACATATCGCTTATGGTGGAATTCAAAAATAGCGAATGCAATAAATAGTAATGAAATTAAGTTATGTTCTTCTCGACGCTCGATCCATTACTCATTTGTTTCTGTGACTCCTGCTTGTGGATAACGAAATATTTACACCAAACCATCTTCAATGCACTTAAATATATACTGTAAGAAGGAATATTAGAATTAATATGTATGTATTTGACGTTTTGTGTCAAATGTCCGACTTTGCCGGCTAGATAACGGGATTCCCTATGTCTTGGCCTAGTTTAATTTTCATGCTTGAGGGAAAGAAAGACATTTGGCGAATATAACCTATTCCCTTCCTCGTAACCGGCAAACTCCGCATTCTAATTCTTCGTCACACACCTACAGATTCTGAGACGATTTTAAACAAAAAATACAACTATTTAGCCTCGACCGGGAATCGAACTCGAGGTCACACCACGGGAACCTAGTATCTATTAGCCATCCTAGAGGCCAGAATTATTATAGAATATCTATTACAGATTATCGTTGGTGCACCTCGGTGGGCGGGTAGTTAGCTTCCTGGCTTCTGGACCCGCTCCCGGTTGAGGCGCGTGGATTTTCGAAGAGCAGAGAATCCCAGTGATGAGGCCATGCTCGTGGCATAGAAAAGTACCCTGGCACGAGCCCGCCAAAACTAAGTCCCTCCGGCAATTTCCCTTTCAACCATATCTCGCGCTCTTCCAACCAGACATCTTGGGTTGAGGTAGAGTCCCTGCATGTAGAGAGTACCGAAACGACCGCCATTTAATTTCGTCTCACCCGATAGCCCCGCCAGGCAGCATTCTGAAGCTGAAGGGAAATTATAACAATTGGTGACGTTATGGAGATTTTCAAGAATAATAATATTGATTTGGGATAGGTTCATGGTTCTCCTCACACGACACAACACAGTTCCGATTCTCCTGACAAATGAATACAAAATTGCGGGATCGGTGGAACAATGGAATGGGCTCCTCTCCCTATATCTAGGGACTGCAGTATTTCGTTAACTGAGACTGACATCTGGTGGAAAAGTAAGAGTCACTCCCGGGCGCTTCAAGGCGTGGTCCACAGGACGAGCTTCTTCGAAAACAGTGTTCTGGACCCCGCGGAGGGTGTGCATTAAAGAAAGACTTGTGTCGAAAATGTGAATGTGGTACTACAGCCAACAGCCTCGCAAAATAACATATGCTATAAAAAATTACAGAACTATATTATTAAGAGAATAATTTGAAATAATTAATAGGTCACAAAATAAAATAAATTCTTTATCAGTGCAACCCTGTGTACAAATTCTTTGATATCAAGGAAATGGGTAACATGAGATAATAACTCATTTATTGAATAATAAAAAAATTATAAAAATTATAACGGGTAGCTTGTTAAACAGTAAATTACGTGAACTACACTCAAGAAAAATATTGAAAAACTAATGCAAAAGATACGAAATATGTTATCTTCTTTGATTGTCTAAAGGTAAAATGCATGAAACGGATACTTTTTTTATAATAAACAATTATTAGAACACACGTTTTCTTATATAACATTAATTTTTTTAAGCATACTTCATCGGACTTGAAGAAATAAAATATGTCATCTCTGGTAACTATTAAGTGAACTATTATATTAACGTAATATACTTCATAACTTAATATATTAGGTTGAATAACTATGAAGTCGCCGGAGATGGAATCGTTTATTTCTTCATGTAATTACGTCAACAATACCACATCAGAATTCCCACAAGCAATAGATAAAACGTTATATGATATTCGTATCATAATCTTATTACAAAACTTTATTGGTTATGAAATTAAAACGAACAGAATACTTAACGGTTCTTTTCTCATATAAGATGTTTTACGATTTATACGGCAAATAACTAGTACCTGTTCTATATTTCTATTAAAACAGTTACAATACTTACGACTCTGGAGTGCGTAGTTCTCATGCGGTATTCCAAAGAATACTGGTACTGCAGCGGAAAACTGCCCTGTGCTTCTGTGCACCTGTGTAGAAATGATTATTGCTACAATTAATACATACTATATTCCAAACTATAAATATATCAATCCTAGTGTTAAATCATTATCTGCCAACTCATATAGCTTAAACTTCCTCACGAAAATCATAGCGCTGTGAGACATTATTGTCATTATTGTGAGAGGTGGCTCAGGGCATCAACGGATTTTACTGCAGTGCGTATGATCGGGAGGTTCTGTCTCCTGGAGAGTGGGAGTCCCGATGGTGGCAGGATTTTCGACACTAGCAATGTAGCTAATTCGAATTCAGTCAGTATGCAGAAGAATTATAGCGACCCGGCTGCTTTAATCGCTAGTTTTCCGTAGTTTCTCCGATCAACTCGAGGGAAATGCCGAAGCATGGCACCAACAAACAGGCAACGGCTCACTTGCGATCTTTCCTTCCTCTTCCTTTTTCTATCTTCACCCCTTACACACACACACGGTGACATGCACTACAATGCCACATATGTCAGGAGATCGGTCGGGAGATTAGAGCTTGTCCCGACTGGGAAGTGCTTCCTGGTGGGAGATACGTGGTTGGGGAAAACCCTCTAGTCGACAGTAGGTTGGAACCGGATCTCTCAGAGGGGGAAGATCATCGCAACTTCCGGAGAAAAATATGCACTGCACGTACGGGACTACCAACAGCTGTCTAGGTGCTTGGAATTATAAATCAATAGACATTATTATAAGGAAACATGTTAGAAAAATATTACAGAAAATATAGAGTCTGACCCTGTCCGGGTGGTGCGAAAGACAAAAAGGAGTGCGACCAAACAGCGCCTCCCGGACGCAGGCTGGGGCTTTCCGGAGATCCGGGCTCCGCCACCTCTTCCCGCCCAATTTCCGGGCAGAGCGACAGCGCGGCGGCAGATAACAATTGGCCATCAGCCTTTACAGCGGGTAAGCCCGCAGCGCGCGCGCGAGCGGGAGAGAGCGGGGCCGCGCCAAGAGCAGGCAGGTGGCGGCGGCGGCTGCGGCGGCGGCTGCGGCGGCGGCACCCGTGGGCCAACCCCCGCCCCCCCTTCCCCGCCTTCAGTTCTTCATCCACTTTCCCGCCTTACTGCGAACGGCAGAGGTGGCTCAGGATGTCACCAACTGACGGCGCTACAGTGTCCTAGATTGAGAGGTCCTAGCATTCGAGTCGCGAAGGTGGCAGGAGTTTCGGCACCAGAGAGGCCGAATTCAGCAACTGCAGAACATTGTCTCAGAGTGTGACGTAGTGAAATAAGAAATACATTTCAATAACAAAATAAAAAAAATATATTCAAAGATTATGTACAAGTTACAATGAATTGCTAATTTTAAAACACTCCGGCAACCTTTTCCTTTCAGAACACTGCTTTACCGCAGAAAACACAAGCCACGCGTGATGCGCGGTGTCGAATCTCGGTCCCGTGACAATTACCGTCACATGGCCTGACGCCAAAATTTAACCCGGTCGTGGCGACCGTGTGCCTACAGCACGCGAGATTGTCTGGCCCTTACTCTCCGACCATCTCGCCCTCACTCCTACACCCCTTGTACACACGTACAAGCTTCCCGATGCAAACTGAATGAGAACGCGGGCGCAGATGGCGCCGCGTTAAATAGTTGAGGCTGACACCCCCACCACTGTTCCATAGATAGACTCGCACTGGCGCGAGGCTCGCAGGCCAGCCTTTGGTTTACGCCCACACACAGAATTCTCAGGTTATCTGCCTGCTTCCGTAAACGAGGCTCGCCGGCAGCATCCTTGGAGTTTACAGCCTCCGGTATTTTTGGCTCTGCGGCACTACCTGAGTCAACCGCCCGAGCGCAAAATCCCGGATGTTCAGGCTCAACCCCTTCCTCCCCCGCAGCGTACTTTCACCAACCTAACGGTTCTGGCCCTCGTGTTAACGACGCCACAAGAGACACCGCGCTGTCTGGAGACGAATTCTAGCGACCGGCGGGTCTAATTGGTAGCTTTGCGTGATCTATCCCATTAACACCAGGGGGATGCCGGAGCAGTGCCCTAATACGGACCATGGACCTTACGCGATTGTTCATTCATCTTCATTTTCCTATAATCACGCTTAACTGACAAATACATGCAATATCCTACCATGCATATCTGAAGACTAATCGGGAGATTGTAGCTGCTTCCCATGCGTAGGGCGGTGCCACGTTTGTCTCAGATACCTGACGGGACAAAACCCCGCAAACCCGACGTATAGGTTGGCACTTCATCCAACCACCCAGGAGGAGAAGTACATCGCCACCACCCATGATAATGAACATGCACTGAAACTATGGGACTAGTGGCAATAGCAGGTGCCCTGTAACGTGAACTAACGAATCAATCATCGTCATATCTCCTCACAAACGCCGCACCAAGGAAAACCCGCAATGGCCGTGTTGAGATTCTCGCCTGGGAACTGCATTCTTTCAGGCTTCCTCCACTCCATTAATGCCACATGGTACATTAAAATAACCCGCCTCGGTACTCAACGTCTTTGTACGCCGCGGCGTTACTTTTGTTGTTGAGCCACGTATTTTTAGAGCGACACACCACACGAGCGCCTCTGGCGGGCCCAGCTACAGTCACGACGTTGCCTCTCCCCTCCCCCATCCCTCCACGCGCGCCACCAACGTCGTCGAGCGGAAGCACTGGCGGGTTCGAAGCCCATATCGCGACGCAGTGATTGGCCTCGTTTCCTGAAAGGGAAAACAGATCGGGGCCTCGAGCGCTATCGCACGGGCGGATCGCTCGCCCCGCTGGCGCCCCGGAATGCGCAGGCTGCGGGCGCGGGAGGGAAGGGCCAATTAGCGCGAGGGTTACGGAGGCCTAAGAGCGCAGGACGACACAGGAGGTCTAAGTGATCAGAGGGGTCTACGATCACTAGGAACATTATGACACCAGCTAAGGGCTTACGGAGGCATAGATGCCTAAGAGAGCAGGACAACACAGGATGTCTGAGTGATCAGAGGGGTCTACGTCCCTAGGAATATTATGACACCAGCTAAGAGCTTACGGAGGCATAGATGCCTAAGAGAGCAGGACGACATAGGATGTCTAAGTGATCAGAGGGGTCTAAGATTGCTAGGAACATTACGACACCAGCTAAGGGCTCGGGAGCTGAGTTGATGTACCTACAAAGATTACTTAAAATAGTAATAATACCAGCTGAGTACAGTGACAACAGCTGACGTCACTGAAGTGCCTCAGACCGAAGATACAAGAGTTCGAGTCCCTGCGGTGGCAAAATTTGCCACTCTAGCTAGACAGCTAGGTCAAATTCCGCCACCATCAGGAAGAGAATTCTAGCGGCCGTCTGCTTTGAATGCCGGAGCAGTCCTCTAAAACACCAGCCACGGACGTCGCGCGATCTTTCCTTCCTCTTCCTTGTTCTATCTTCACACACTCACACGCACTACACTACCGCACAATACGGAAGACCAATCGGGAGCTTAGAGCTTGTCCCAGCTGGAGTGATGCCCAGCTGGTTGGCGATACCTTTAGGGGAAAACACGGCGAGCCATCTCATCCGAGATGAAACACCTATGTCCTAGAGATTCAGATTCGTTCTTCACTCAGTCTACTTGCAACACTATTTACGATACAATAAACAACAAGAGATGAGGAAGAAGAACATCACGTTCAGACATTCAGCCACATTCAACCAATTCAGACATTCAATTTTTGGTCCAGGATCTCCTTTTCACTAACTCGACAGCACTCGACTTCAGGAACATGTTTGCGTTTATGTAGACGTTTTCACGTAATGTTAAGGGAAATGTGAACGTTTTCCACAAATATATAAACACGTTTTTTAAAAAACGCTTCCAGATTATATTATCTATTTCGTTAATATTGAGCAACATTGTACTGAATATCATGGCGTGACATTTTCATTAATATTTTTCAATTTTTGTAAATTTAAAAAAATAGTAAATTCTTTATATAGTCTCTATTCTTTAAAGACATAGTTTATTACAGCTCTGAATTTTTCCGCTTACGATCTTTTCGGGACAAATCGTCATATCCCTTTGTGTGTGTATGTCTTCGGGCACTCAACTACTCTATGGTTATTAGTGTCCTGAATGGTTTATCGCGGAAAGTGTCGTTGTTCCCCGCAGGGTGATGAAATCCGGCGCAAACCTTCATGTCCGCTAGCGAGGATTTTCCATTCCAGAAATCTCCCACCAGGGGGGCCCCTCCTCAGACGGGACAAGCTCTGATCTCCCGACTGCTCTCCCGGCGTCTGTGGTAGTGCAGTGCAGATAAGGGTGTGTTTAAAGGGAGAGGACAGAGCAAGGAAAAGAAGGGAAAGATCGCACGCCGACCGTGGCCCGTTTGTTAGTGTACTGCTCCGGCATTCGCCAGGTGTTGATCAGAGAACCCACGTAGAACCACCAATACGAGAAACCGTCTACTTATAATTTCCTCTAGACAGCGTCTGAATTCGGCCTAGTTCAGTAGCTTGTCCTGTAACCCAACAACCTCCAGGTCAGCCACTGCAGAGACAGTGGCAATGACTAAAATCAGCCGGTATGACATCTGTACTTCCAGCAAGCACTTCGCGGAAACATTACGTAAGTGTAATCCGTACCTTCACTCCGCAGACACAATAGAGCCGCGTGACTTGTCAAAGGCACCAGCGCTCGAAGCGGAAGGCGCAGGGGCCCGGAGTGACACATACGGAGCGAGACAGGCCGCCCGCCCCGCGCCGTCTCAGGGGCTTCCAGGAGCCGCAGACGGAATTCCCGGGAAACCCGCGGGGCGGCACTTGGATGCCTGCCTGCCTGACGGCACGGCCCGGCACGACACGACGCGACGCGACGCGACGCGACGCGCGCCGGGCTGCCCGGTGGGAGGGAATGGCAGGCGGGCTCACGACCTACCCATGGGCCTTCGCGTCGGGCGAAAGAACTCGCTCCGCTCGGGCGAAGTGTCCGTCGACGAAGGTTAATGGGACGAACCGCCTAACACTCGTCGCGCCCTTTATTGTGAGCAGTGCTCA